TGAAGTAGCACTCCTACGTATGCATGAACTGGACGTATAGTTCATGCTCCATAAGAGCTCCCCTAGCAAATAGCTCTTAAGTGTTTAGTAGAGGTTGAAGTCCAATATCTTGGTGAGTATCTTATTATCATGGGGTAGCATCAACTACTCTAAAGCTATCTGGCTTGAGTGGTCCTAGACTCCATAACACCCTCTTATCAACCCGATGCCCAAGAGCGAATCGGTTCTTCTTCGATAGCTCCTTATCATACCAACGCTGAGCTTCTATCAATGCTATCAGCAACATCCTCAACTCCTCCTACTTAGCTTGAGAAAGCTCATCAATATGATGTGGAAGGGCCACTGGAAACTCACCTCCTAGCCCACCATGAAAGCAAGGCCCTCAACAGTCACCTCCTAGGCAACATGGGCATCTTTAGCAGCCATCTCCTTTCTAGGTTGGCAAGTAGACTCAATGAGCATAGCAGAGATTGCCTCCTCATCGGTCTATGAGGTAGCTTCTTCAGGTTCAACCACAAGAAGTTTATCACCTCTAGCATCCTACGCTACGGACTCATCGTCTAAGATAACAGCATCAGATGAGGCAACTCGGGGAGTCCCCTAGGTCGAAAGAATTGAGACATCACCCCCTAGCTAGGTACAACTTCACTTGCTTGTTGGGGTGAGGCTTTACCTAGTTGTCAAGTCACCACCACCCCCTGGTCAGAAAGTGGTGTGCTCACCTTCACTGCAACCCCTACCTTCTTTTCTGAGGGATCTACACTCCCGAATGGGCCCTGACCACTAACCTTCAAATTCCTCCTACTCTTCTTCTCCGACCTCTTAGCATGAGCTATGCCCAGTTTTAAACCCGCCAACCAACTTGCTATCTTGGCTGCATTAGCCTTGATCTGCTCGGTCTCCTCTTAGGCTAACTCTACTGGAATGTGCTTCTGGGGCCTTGCCAAAGATCCACTCTGAGAGGCCTCTGCTTCCCCTTTCCATAGTGCTAGAAGAGAAGCCCTAGCATTGTCTTCTTTAGTTGGAGGAGTGTGAGAGATGTTGATAACTCACAGCACTGAGTTGCTGAAGGGAGTCTTACTACGGTGAGACCTCGTATAGACTCAGATCTTATCCTACCAACGCCTATTCATCTCTGAGAGAGGACCCACCTTCAGAACATCCTTCTTTATCTCTAACCAAGTAGAGCAAGCCAAGAGAGGGTCGGCACCAAAAATAAAGAACAATCGATCCTTCCACCCTTTGTTGGAGTCAGGGATGTTATAAACTAGCTTAGAACTCCCGACACTTTCAAGTAGTAGTTCCCCTCACTCTTGGCCACCTTAGTATATACCAAGTGGCATAGGATGCCTAGCGTGGGCTCTATGCCCGCCTGATAGAAGATAACGACAAAGCCAATGAGCATGACGAGGGTGTTCAACTTTAGATGTGATGATGACATCCCTAGGACCTTGAAGACTCATTGGAGAAAGGGATGGAGTGGGAAGTGAAAACCGCTCTAAATGATTGATGTACACTGGAGCTAGGCTCCCGTTGTGGTGGTAGATTGATAGATCTTACAATGGTGCCGTCAAAGTAAATGCTCGAGGAATATCGAACAGGTCATAGTAGGTCTTAAGAATTGATGGGAGCACCTTAGAGTGGAACTCCTGAAGCATAGTGATTCTCACTTCTTTATGAGTAGGAGCATCTCAAGTAGAGGAAGCCAATGTTTCCGATGAACTAGATTTGAGAAAATTGAAGGAGATGGTTAGAAATCGTACAGGCATGACAGACAAATTCTAGGGCTTGAAAAGTGTAGGTTAAATCATTGAGAAGCGGTTGTATATATTAGTAAGGGAGGGGATGCATGGCATGATCTGAGTGATAAACTTAGTTATCAAAGGATGGCTGAAAGACGAATGAGATAGAAGATAACCGCTCAGTAATCGAAGTGGCACCCCTCTTTTTAAATTGTCGCATGATCTCCCCTAACATCAGAGCGTCACATCAATAACTACCCATCAATAACCCCTTATTAAATGCGCTTTAGACTCCTAGGAGATAATAATTTGATTTCACGTGGATCCGGTGACTCGGGTTAGAATGAAAGGGTTCGATGTTATATCACAGAAATTGATGTGTGAAAACTACTCTCAAGAGATTGACACGTGTCTCGATTAGCCAACACAAAGTTTATGCACTGACTCGAACCAGGTAGCACGAGTAGCGGCTCCCCCTCCTTAAAGCACTTTGAGAACTGAGGTGAAAGGCATCCTCACTCAAGCCTTCTCAAAGAATATGAGATGAAAGGCATCCTCACCCAAGATTTCTCTCAAAAACCTAAGACGAAAAGCATCCTCACTTGGGCTCTCTTCAAGGACCAAGATGAAAGGTGTCTTCACTAGTAAGCGGCAGTGCATCTTGAACCACAAGGAGACCTATCTACTTTATCTTTCTAAGCGACGTCAGCCAATCACCATTGCATTAAATGCATGGCTAGAGCCATCATTACTCCTCCACCGACGTCATAATGACTTCTCAGACCACGCTAGCACCTTAACTATTCTGTTGCCCTCACATAAAAAATGTAAGGATGAATCAGATCACCCACTGCTGACGCATGTAAAGTGTCAGGTAACTAAGCCGACAGTATGGACCCGACCAAAATTACACAAATACCCTTGTTGGTTCACTATAAATAGGCAAATTATCTTCTGCATGAAAATACATTGTTCTCTATGACAGAAAACCCTAAATACTTTCATATACCTTCATATTTTTTCTATTAAGATTATCACTAACTTGATCATAGGATGAACCACCAAAGAACCCGACTCAGACCCTCTAACATTTGTGTAGGAATCTTTTGCCTAAAGTGATCAGCCATCAAATAAGATTGACAAACCCTAAGCTCTTCCAAATACATCTTAACCTGCATAATTGAGTTTCTGATATCAACAACAACCAATGATAAAACTTAATATTTATGCTCTTTACCTTAACAGGTATTCACCATAATTAACATCCATGATAATACTTAACAGATAATGTGTAAAGTGAGATACCAAATACTAATATTAACAACTGAAGTTCAAGCTTAATAGTTAAGTTATACAGTTTAACATTTATTGGACAAAATTTAATAGCCAAAGATTCATCTCGAAAATCAAATGACGTTAATTAACAACTAATTTGTACAATTAAACCTATAATGTATAATGATTACAATTCAAAAAATTAACTTTACACTAATCATATTTTGAATTTCACAAATAATGTACATAGTTTACAACGCACCAATACAACTATACATTTATCTATAATATTCTTTAGAGGAGAGCGTTGTCTATCATCGTTTAATGTTTATGGTTCTTGATAATGCTCTCGTGATGAACTATTTTTACTGCTGTCTTTGCTCATATTTTCTTTTGTTGACGTTGTTCTTGAGATTGAAGTGAGCAAAACCCTAACCACCTATCTACAATCATCATGTACAACCAAAAAAACAGAGCAAAAGAACTCTCTACCACGAGTGACAAATTTGATGCAAGTGGAGAGGAAATTGAGCCAAGACCAATCTGCACATTTAGAATTTTAACTATATTTTTTGTAGGTATTTTTTTGTTATAATTATTAGGCACATGTTATAGTTAAGAAATGTATGTGATACTTAATAGGAACAATTTACGGTTAATTTGTGTATATTATATTTAATAGGTACATGTAATACTTAGTAGGAACCAATTATACTTCACATATACAAGGTATGATTAACATGTACTAGTGATACTTAATAGGAACTAATTATAATTAATAGGTACGAGTCATACTTAATAGCAGTTGGTCATAATTACTAAGTACAGAGGTGAATGTCAGATGATCGCTTAGCCATCCATTAGTGGTAGCGGTGGGGAGTTAGCTGTGGTCGAGAGAGTACTATTTGGACTCATAGACATCAATTAGGAAGGTGATATTTTGGTGGGACTAAAAATGACTAAGGGTTAACAAATTTTTGGTGGTAGTGTGAATGGCAGAGGAGAAGGAGGAAAGAATGACGATCATCATGGTGGCAAAGGAGAAGTAGGGGCTATGGTTTGAGGGCAAGAGGGGTTTTAATATGAAGGTGAAATTAGTGATGGGGATTTAGAGAAATGGGAGATGATGTGGACACTTGAGTGAGGATGAGAGAAGAAGAGGGTTAAATTAGGAGAAGGAAAAGGGAGGAGAGATCTGACGGAAAAGTTGATTGAGGATGAAAGAGGGAGAGGGTTGAGTTGGAGGGGGAAGAGAGAGAGAGAGAGAGAGAGAGAGAAGACAACTGTTATACTTATGGACTCTATTAGAGAGAGAGAGAGAGAGAGAGAGAGAGAGAGAGAGAGAGGGGGAAGGAGGGAGGAAGGAAGGGAGAGGGGGAGAGAGAGAGAGGGTTGAGTAGCGAGAGGAAGAGAGAGGAAAGATCTAGCCATGGTTTAGAGAGAGAGGGAGAGAGGGAGGGAGAAAGATGGCGATTCTAGAAAGATATTTTTGGGTTTTAACTTTCACTGCTTAGTTGATAGTGTATAATGGGCTAAAACACAAAATGACAGTGTATTTGGGGCTTTTTCACAAAGAAAATAATACCAAGGGTGCGACACATGAACTTTTAATTTTTGAGGCATTGACACAATTTTTCCTAAATTTTATCATTACCTCAAATAAAACATTTGTTTACTGACGATAGTAAGGCGATCCATATATTTTTTTCTAATTTGGAACCCACCAACTCGGTGATATGATGTTAATAAATAATTTTAGATTAATGCAAGAATTTGAACCATTTTGTAAATATATAATTTTACAGAATATTTCCTACAAATAAATTAAATACATTTGATATTACAGAATTTTTCCTACATATAAATTAAATACATTTGATATTGAATCATATCTCTGACCGAATACGGTTTGGGTCAACTATAATTAGACCCGTTTACATTGAACCTTAAACCCAAACCGGTGTAACAACGAACCGAACAACCCTGCCCAATCATGGCCTTCTTCTCCGCTCCTTTTGTTGACAATAGAACATCCACCCACCTCCCACGCACGCCCCGGCTATCTTTCCCCTTTTCTTTTATAAGCAACAAAGTGCCATACCACTGAAAACAAAGTGCCCCCCGCACCCCCTGCTCCCGCAACTCAGAGCTCTCTTCCTCGTCCTCATGCCTCTCTTCCTCCTCCTCCTCCTCCTCCTCTCAACCCCCTTCAGTCTCTCCCTCAACCAAGAAACGACCAGCCTCCTCACATTCAAATCCTACATTACTCAAGACCCATCAAGCTTACTCTCCAACTGGAACTCCTCTGACCCCAACCCCTGCTCTTGGACAGGCATCACTTGCAACAAGAACTCCACTGTCATCTACATTACCCTCCCCAAATCAAACCTCTACGGTTCTCTCCCTCCTTCTCTCTTCTCTGACCTCCCCTCTCTCCGCCATATCAATTTGAGGAACAACAGGCTTCATGGGTCTCTCCCTTCAACCCTCTCTTCCTCAATTAGCCTCCAAAGTTTGGTTCTTTATGGAAATTCGTTATCTGGTTCTCTCCCATTCGACATTGGGAACCTCACATACCTTCAAATTTTGGATATTTCACAGAATTACTTTAATGGGTCTTTGCCCAATTCAATAATCCAGTGCAGGAGGCTGAGGACTCTGGATTTGAGCAAAAACAACTTTACTGGTTCTCTGCCCGTTGGGTTTGGAACCGGCCTGGTTCAGTTGGAAAAGCTTGATCTTTCTTACAATGGGTTTACCGGATTGATCCCGGGCGATATTGGTAATCTCACTAATCTCCAAGGGACTGCTGATTTCTCTCATAATGCGTTTTCGGGTTTGATTCCTGTGAGTCTTGGGGTTTTACCGGAAAAGGTTTATATTGATCTTAGTCATAATAATCTCAGTGGCCCTATACCACAGAATGGAGCTTTTGAGAACAGAGGGCCAACTGCTTTTTTAGGAAACCCTGGCCTATGTGGCCCTCCATTGAAGAACCCTTGTTCTTCTTCTGTTAATGGAGCGTCTACGAATCCATTTTTACCTGATATTTACCCCCCTTCGGAATTGGAATCCAGCAAGGATACTAGAAAAGGGCTTAGTAAAGGTGCAATAGCTGCCATTGTGGTGACTGATATTGTTGGTATTGGATTGATAGCATTGGTATTCTTTTATTGCTATCAAAAAGCTATTAATAAAGAAGAGACCCGGAGCTCCCGTAAAGGATCAAGGGATCAAAAGGAGTGCCTATGCTTTAGAAATGATGAATCAGATGCTATTTCCGAGAGTATTGAGCACCACGATCTTGTGCCATTGGATAAGAAATTGAGCTTTGATTTGGATGAGTTGTTAAAGGCTTCGGCTTTTGTTTTGGGAAAGAGCGGAATCGGGATTGCGTACAAGGTTGTGTTTGAAGATGGGCTCACGTTAGCGGTGAGAAGATTGGGTGAGGGAGGATCACAGAGGTTTAAGGAGTTTCAAACTGAGGTTGAAGCAATAGGGAAGGTTAAGCATCAGAATATCGTTACTTTGAGAGCGTATTATTGGTCAATTGATGAGAAGCTGCTGATTTATGATTATATTCCAAATGGGAACCTTTCTGCTGCACTTCATGGTATTGTCTTAACTTCTTACTCATAACTTCATTCACTTGATAAATTTTTAGTATTTATACTACCAAGAAATGTTGATATTTAGAACTTGTGAAAGTTTAAAAATGCATCTTGTAAGCAAATAATTGCCAAGTGACTTTTGATGTAGAATGTACTTTCTGCTTTACTAGGTCTAATATTATAATTGCGTATTAAAAGTTTGATTGTAAATTACAGTAACAAGTCACTTAACATGTTGAACACTTTGCTGGTCACGATTTGTAGCAGTTTAGTCATTAAATTGGTTCACTCAATTAAATTTGGTGAGAGATTCGTCAAGGAAGCTTCAAATACTTCTTGTTCTTTTTGAAATTATTTACCATGGTGGTAATCACTTGATAGGTAATTAAGAAACATATTACATGTGTGGTCTACTAGTAGTTCATCTCCAATTAATTTTGTAAATGATTCAACAGGGACACTTCAAAGAGTTGTCGTCCTCTGAAATTTTATTTGCTGCAAAAGTAAAACTCCCTTGATAAATATCATTATGAACTGAATCACATATTTGTGGTATTAAAGGTTCACCTCTTTATAAGTCGATAAATATATTATGAAATTGTTAGATTACATGAGAAAGTGTGTATTAATATTATGTCAAAATTTCCCATTTAAGTAAAGTATTCCTTGGTCATATTTCTTTTTGAATTTGCTAATAAAATAATCAGATCATGTTTGATTCATATGATGTTCTTCCCTGTTCTATTTTGCCAAGAATTTTCTCCAATTTATGCTAACAAATGCTTTGTTTCATCTTTAAACCTAATAAAAAGATCCTAGTTTTATAATAAGAAGATCCTGGTTATATTGTCATACGTCTGATTTATCTGGGGGCATTGATTGTATAATTATGAACAGTAAAATAGATCCATATTACCGTAGGACGGAGAAAATATTTTTCAAATAGAGGAAAATTCTTGCTACACATACTTCTGATTGGTTTAATTGCGAATATTCCATATTAGATTCCATATCTGCTTAATTTGACCAGAAAAAAAAGTGTAAGGATCATATGTCCTTCACCATATTAGCAATTTCCATCATAAGTGGCGATTTTAGAGTAATAAGTTCTGTTAGTGCTCTCAAAAGATGAACAAGGACTTCTCAAAACTCCTTAGAGAGATGCATCCTCTGGAATAAAGAATATCACAATAGATTAGAAAATCCTATACACATCACAAATCAACGTAAACTTAAGTGAAATGCCATAGAGAACAAATTTCAAACTCTGGGCAAATCCTAGTACACTTGTGACCTCGGACTACTTCTAATTTCAGGTACAGCAAGCAATGAAGCATTTCAACCTTTATCCTGGGACTTGCGCCTAAAAATCATGAAAGGAATAGCTAAAGGATTAGCTTACTTACATGATGTCAGCCCGAAGAAGTACGTTCATGGAGATCTCAAACCCAACAATATCCTTCTCGGTCTAAACTTAGAGCCATATATTTCGGACTTTGGTGTTGGTCGCCTTGCCAATTTAGCTGGAGGATCCCCATTGCTCCAATCAAATATCTCAATGAGTCCAATGATCACTATTTCATCTAGTTACCAAGCTCCTGAAGCTTTGAAGACTCTAAAACCATCTCAAAAATGGGATGTTTACTCTTATGGAGTGATTTTGTTAGAGTTGATATCTGGGCGTTCTCCAATTGCGCTAATGGAGATGTCAGAGATGGATCTAGTTCAGTGGATTCAGTTCTGTATCGAAGAGAAGAAACCCCTTTCGGAGGTTCTCGACCCTCTTTTATCAAATGAGTTAAATACTAAAGATGATGAGATTATTGCAGTACTTAAGATATCTTTAGCTTGCGTTCAAGCCAATCCTGAGAGGAGACCATCGATGAAGAATGTCATCGAGACCTTGGAGAAGATCATTGAGGTATGAGCATTGATCTTTTACTTGCATTAGAGAGAAAATGCAGTAGCTATTGGTAGTAGGATATCTTGCTTTTATCTGTTGTTGTGTCGTCTCATTGTGCAGTTCTTCCTAAAGTTTGTGCTATTTCTTCTAGCTTGTTCATGTAGTAATGTATCTGAATGAATAAGCTAATGGTTGAGCAACATGTTTCGGGCTTATTTCGTGTAAACCATCAGAAATATGATCAAATCTACTTACCTAAAACCAGAAAGTATGTACATACCCTTCAAAACCTATCACAAGTCTTGACCCCTGAAAATTATCTGATGCATTATTCTTCATTATAATTAGTTAGAATTTACTATCTACTGTTCATCATTGGTAGTCAAATTTGTGGTGCTTGCCGTATTTTAGAAACTCATAAATTAACGTTGATATCCATTCAGTTAAAAGTTTACGTTCGATTTTACAAATCTGCCATGAACTTTTTTTTTGGGTGGTGGGGTGGGGATTAAAGTATCGTGAACCCTTGGACATTGTTGCTAACTGTGTTAGTGACTTGGATATAAGAGCTAAACTATCCTTAAAAACCGACCAGAGGAAGAGAGTAATATAGAACATATATGAAAGTACTTAAGAGCAGAATTATCCAGAACATGTCACTTGCAAAGCACGTGAAAAACTTGTTATAGACTCCATCAAGCATGATAGTTTAGTGAAAGTAATTCATCGTTGTTTTTTCAAATTAATGAAAACTAAGGTATTTTGTGTTGAATATGGCTCTGAATTGAAAGATATCAGCAGCAAGCAAGCAGCAGAAAAACCGCATTGACAGCATCAGCAGTCAGACCAGCTGGTCCATCACTAGTGATCCTTCAGTGGTTGGACCGGTCGGTCCACTGCCAGCAAGTTTTCAGTGGTCCGACTGACCGTCTGACTGCTCAGGGTGTTTCTGCACAGTTTGAGTCTGAATTTGATTGGATTTCCAGTTTTTATTGGGCTTACGAATTCTACCCTATTTAAAGGGTGTTTTATGAGATCTCGGTTTTATGCTGAGAATCTCATCAACTTTATGCTGTAGAGAGAGTTAAAAAGAGAAGAAGAAGAAGGGAACAATTCTTGTGAGGATCTGCAAGAGAGAGGTTGAGAAATCTTGTAAATCCCCTCTCCTTCTCCAATGGACCTAGGCTTATTGCCGAACCATGTAAATCTCGTGTTCTTGCTGTGGTTGCATGCTAGTTTTGTTCTTGCTATTTATCCGCAATAAACCCTAACTGTCTATTTTCCCCAACAGTTTGGCACAAACTCTTCCACAGTTCATGGTACTTTTGTGAAATTTACCCCTAAATTAAGCTTCCTTTTGTGTTATTAGCAAATTTGAGTACTGATGGTGAGCATTCAAATTTTAAGTTTTCCTCCTCCTACATAGATGTTGCTTTGTAGCTATAGCCTTGAAGCATGATAACTGAGTCACCGGGCAGGCTGATGCAGTCATGAAAAATTAGATCTGAAAGATTCAGGAGGCTCATGAGCCAACGTATTGGAGAAGCAGAATCATCAACAAGGAAAAAACAAGGTACCAGTGAGACCTTGGAGATCTGATGTCAAAAAAGAAAAAAAGGAAAAGAAAAACGAAAAAGAAGTACCAATGAGTTGAAGTAAAAAGTTGTCACACTACTTGCAATTAAGGTCTTAGGAATTCATATACTATGTCACGCACTGGGCCCAGAGCCCGTTGGCACAAGAAATGGTATCAGAGCATTTAGCTAGTCAGAAATGTGAAGGTAAGTGTTATACAAGTAAGTGCTACACTGCATGAGCACAGTGGGAGCCACCTCTTCAAGCCCGAAGGAGTCACCTCTAGAGTCTACATCGCTTGGTGGTGATACTGAGATAGGCCAATTGTCATGGCGTGAATAGAAAGTTACGTAATTAAGGTAGGGTGATTGTGATACCGCAAGATTTAGTCCCACATTGGATATCGATTGAGTGATTGAATGGTTTGTAATGACAGGTCTTGGAGTGCCAAGTGTAACATTGGCAGTGGATTGAACCAAACCTTATGTTGCATTCTGTAGATCCCATGACTTACATTGCACCAACGGACTTGCGGGCCTGGGGCGTGACATACTAGGTTGGATCTGATCCATACCCAGAACTGTTATGCTTTTGTGTAAATTTGTTCTTGACATAGTATTGACATAGTATCTGAGCACTCCTGATTTTGAGAGATCGTGAAATTTTATCATTATTATAGTTATAATATGTTTATTTACTTTCTCTTATGAGTGTTAATAACTAATGTTAGATTAATCAGTAAACGTGGACTGATGGGTCTCTTACATACTTTTGGCTGGTTTGTCATTAATGTGACATACATCTATAACTCTCTACAGCCCATATCATCAACATATCTAAGTATTGGTGACTAACTTGGCTATGTCAGCGAGACACACTGGCTTCTATTTTACTCTAAATTAATACATATTATTGGGTAAAATTACAATAATTTAAACTTTTGGTTGAAGTGTTACAATAGTTGTGATTGGAGATAGTATGAGACCGAATACAGACTTTGTTTTAGCTTTTTCGGTATAAGCACAAGTTACCCAACGTATGCAGAAAGACCTTGTTTTTAGCTCTATTGCAAGAGATTTCAGCATGGTCAAAAGATGTGCCTTTTCTTCTCAGATCAGCATGAAGTTTGCTCTCTTTTTCACTTAGGGGCTGTTTGGTTATTTCCTAAAAAACCAAAAAATAGAAATGCAAACCAAGAAAACTCAAAAAGTACAATTTCACACATTTCCATCCCTAAAACTCACCCACAACATCTAATAAAATATTATTTTTATCCAACAACTCATCCAACACATCTAATAAAATATTATTTTCATCCAACAACTCATCCATCACATCCACCACATCTAATAAAATATTATTTTTATCCACAACATCACTCAACTCATCTCATCTCATATTTAAAAATTACTCACATCATCCAATAAGATTGTGACAACTCATCTCATCTCATTAACATTTTATTTTTTTGTTTTCCTCTCAAAAAGCTAGGAAAACAATTTCTTTAAGTGTGGGTCATATCATCCAATAATATAATGACAACTCATCTCATCTCATATATTTTCTTATTTTTAAGAAATAACCAATCAAAAGAAAACAACCTATTACAAGAAATATGTTTCTTATAATTTATTTTATTATTTTTTTGGCCAACCAAACAACATCAAAACAAGTTTTCTTAAAAAATCACTCACATCATCCTATAATAAGGTGACAACTCATCTTCATTTCTTTGATTTCCTTCTTTTTTTAGCAAACCAAACACTCCCAAAACAATTCTTTGATTTAATAGTTTTCCATTTCTTTGATTTTTAATTTTTTTTAGGCAAACAAACAAACCCTACTTTAAATTGTACTCATTGAATGATGCTTGTTTCTTTGCTTGTTAAGTGGGAGAGCAGAAATCAAACTATATGATAGCTTATAAAAGGAACATGCATGCTGATCACTGCTTGCCGCTAACAGAAAAAGCTAGAGCTCTAAGATTATATTGGTTGATGAGTAGTCGGCCAGCACTTTTTTTTTTTCGTTAGCCATAGGACCCAAGCTTCTTTTGATTATTGAGCTCGATTAGAGACTTTTATATTATATTTGATATCTGTATGATAAATCTTATTGGTCCTAAAACTTGATCATCGGCTTTGCAGAATGATAATGTATAAATATGGAATTTGAATGTTTGATTAAATTTTTTGATTTGGAATTGGAACTTCTCAAAATAAGTATATGTAGACTAAACAGTATAAGAAAACTCAAAACATAATATATAGCATAAGTCATTAAAAGACCACTTGCTCATATTTGATTCATTTAATATCAAATTTGATTTTTTTTTTATTTTCAAATAAAATTCAAGGACTAGTTACATGAATATTTACCGAACTATATTATTCAATGGAAGGCTTTTTGTTATGTGCATCACTGGATGAATTAGCACTATTCATTATCCCTTGTTCTATGAGTGCAATCACTTATAAACTATTTTATTAGCATTTACACCTTCTAATCTCAAATGATATTGCTTTTTTCATTTCAGTCTCGGAGACCATTTAGTCTTTTCCCAGTTACGTCTTGATGTATTTCTATTTAAAAAAACGGATGTTTGGCCCTAGACTTTAATGGCTAAAGTTAAAGAATGCTTGGAACTTTTTAATGATTATTTTGCAGTCAGTCCTGTAGACATTATGAAGGGAAAAATATTTTGGCAGACTTTTTTTTCCATGCAAAGACATCTATATGTCAGCACAATTATGGCAACAGGTTCTACAACTTTACAAAGATGTTGATTTAGTGTCCTTTGTTATGATTCTTTTGATTTAGAGAAGACAATTGAGTCAATCAAGGGAGCATCATCTGCTTTATTTTAAATTTTACAAAGAAAACCATCGGCTTGTAGCCAAAGTTTTGTCTGAAGTTATGAATTTCTAAATATTTTATACAGATAAAAAAAGTGACTTCTAAACGTGGATACCCCCCCTCCCCGCCCCAAAGTTGAAATGAGGAGAACGGTGGCCAGTTGTCCGTACTTCTGGTCACATGCAAGTTGTATGATTTATCTTGAATTATCTGATCAGGTTTTTCCCCCAGTACCAAGCAAAAAAAAAAAAAAAAAAAAAAAGATTACGATCACCTTCTGATGTCTAAGGAGCTTAATCATGTACGAATACGAACTGTTTTAAAGCCGATTTGAAGGAAATCTTTTGGAAATCTAATTTTAGCACAATCAGAATTTCTCCATAATTTTTACAAATATTTGTGAGATGTGAGTTTAGAGATAATGACGAGGAACGGAATGAGAGGACTCCAACCCAAAAAGGTTGGACATTGATCATTCGTGGTAGGTGAGGAACTAAAACAATCATTGGTGGATGTTGGATTGTTGAAGGTGCTAATTGCAATGAGCACGGAGATCGGCGTTAAGGCGAGGTAACATGTGTAAGAAAAAAATGGTCAAAAATACAGTGCTCACAGCGGAACTAAATATAAAATACCTCCTACCATTGTTTTCTATAATGATTTACAACTCAGATAATTAGATGGAAAAACTATAATTAATCTGAGCACATACAGAAACAAAGAACGAAATTAAATTACTGTTAAAATAAATAAAATAAAGAAATACGAAAAGAGTTTCTAGCATATACCTTATAAAATAGGCTTAATCTGATGGAGAAAATTTTGCTGTATTTATAGGCTAGGCTAGGACTCTTCAGTTATA